AAAAAAAAAAAAAAAAGGATCCCTTGAGCCCAAGAGTTGGAAGTTGCTGTGAGCTGTGACGTCACAGCACTCTGCCCAGGGTGACAGCTTAAGACTGTCTCAAATAAAACAATCATTTTTACTTGGATATCTTATCTGAACCTCCAAACTGTTTGAAGAATTGGCATGTGTATCTCTATTTTTCAGATGAGGAAAAGATGCTTAGGGAGGCTGACTTACTGAGGACCATGTGGCCCAGGTCCCTGCCTGGTTGTGCACTACTCCAAGGCATTGACCCCTATGGAAAACATGGCACAAATGTCTAAGAATCTCCTGCCAAAAAGTCTGAAAATCCAACATGCAAGATTTTCTGACCTACAAAAATGGAAATGCCAAGTTGTGCAACCTAAATTCTAAAACAGCATGGGCTGACCACATCCATGCTGTGTTGAACATGGTACTGGGATTTAGGGGGCTTGTGATGGAAAGCAGGCCCCCTGGAGTGGCTGCCTACCAGCTTCAGCCCCAATTTTCTTTCCTAACACCCCAAACTTGCCCTGAGTCAATACCAGGCCACCCCCTTCCGCTCCCTGCAGCTTTTCCGCCCAGGGGCTTTTGACCACAGACTCACATGGTGTCTTCTCCCTCAGCCGCCCTCACTAGTCTGAGCCCTTCCAGCTGCCCTGCTCACCCCCAACCCACCAAGGTGCTAGCTCTCTGGACTTCTGGAGACCACAGCTAAACCCAGAGCCCGGGAGGCAGCAGGCCCCTGGGACATGAAGTCTGACCATGAACTCTTTTCCTTGGGGGCATTTAGAATACCCAACTATTCCCAGGCCAAACTAGTATTTCCTCCAGTGGCCCTACTTGTGGGAGTTGTAGGGTCAGGTCGAAGGGTGCCTAGGCATTGCTCTACCAAGAAGCTAGACCAGAGAACTCTGGCCTCTCCCTTTCTAGGGGACGCTAGTCCTGCTGCCCCCAAGGTGGCATGGAGGCATGTAAGGGCAGTGGCACCCCTGGGCTAGCCCAGGCACCTGCAGACAAGTTTGTGGCTACAGTGGCTGCCCCAGATAATCAAGTGCTGCCTGAGCCTGGGTCTTCCTGGGGCATTCCCATCCCTTAGAGCTTGAGGTCTCTCTGCCTGCCTGCCTAGGCAGGGCCAAGACTTGGCTAAGATCGTGGTTGTTCCAACCCTGGTTATAGGCTAACTGCCCCCTAGCATCTAGTGTGACTTTATTTGGAAATTGATCACTGGGGAGGGGGGTGGCTCACTGCAATAGGACTGAGTCCTTAGAAGAAACAGATATGGGAGAAGGTGGTCATGTGGTAGGGGAAGGCAGAGTCAGGTGGTTCCTCTGCAAGCCAAGTGGCATTGGAACCTCAGCTGCCATCACAGGCTGGGGTGAGTCAGGAGTGGGATTCCTGCTAGGACCTAGATTTTGCTGTCACCATCCAGAGCTGAAAGGGAAGACGTGTCTGCAGACTTGACTGTCCTTGACTGTCATTCATCTTTCAGTCTACAGCAGGGACGTCTATGGGCTGCTGGCCCCACCCTCTCCCTGGCTGACTGTCCTAGCTTAGGACCCTTAGGACCTGGGGGCAGCCCACTCTCCTCTCGTGGCTCCTACCTGCCCAGGCACATGACTGTACTGCCATTGTAAGCCACTGACATTCCTCAGCCCACCAGCTCTAGTGCCCAGCCTGGGACCCTGGACAACCCAGAGAGCAGCTGGCCACAGACAGGCCTGAGGCACTCTGGGGCTCAAAGCAGGACCTTGTGTCCCTTCAGAGCCCTGCTTTCTGGGCTGCCAAAAGCCCTATTTCTAGTTAAGTGTAACCTGCCCTGGGTTACAGGGGTGTGTGTTGGGGGGGGTTTCTTCAATAAACAGGCTCAGGGTTGAGCTGAGCCAAAGTGAAAGGCCTAAGACTGCTTTTGTACAACTGTCCGTCCCTGAGGCCTGACCATCTCTGGGGTCCTCAAAAAAATAGGGGGACTTGAGGTACACCCAGAGCCATTTAGCCTCTGTGTGGTCTTGTGCTCCTGAGCCTGTCCTGGAGGCCTCCTAGCCCCTACCCAGAGTACCCTTTCCACCCATCAACCTGGCCCCAGAGTGCTAACACTCCCTCTCCCTGCTGGGGGCTCTGCTACCCTCAGCTTTCCTCCCTTTGGGGACTCCACCACCAGGCCACTTTGAACCCAGGTGACCCATGCACCATGCTGCCCAGTCTAGCATCACCTGGAGCAGATGGGAGCCCTAATACCCACCCATACTGCCTGGATCCCTCTAGTGGACGTCTGTGGAATCCACCTGCCCCTTCCGAGGATCTTGAGCCCCAGTACTATGGGTTCCCATTGGAGTAGGGTGGCCTGCAGAGAGGTAGCTGAGCCCAGGGGACCAAGGACAGGTGAATCAGGTGTGGAGGCCCCAGGCCCACCTGAGCCAGCCATTTCCTGCCTCCCCTCCTGGCCAGCTTCTGGCCTCTGCTCTGGTCATGTTGACCATGGCTGGGTCTCAGGTACCCTGCTCTGGTGGGACCACAGGGGAGAACTATGGCTACGGTGGTGAGGCTGGGGCTGGACTCTCCACTGATGTCACAGCTCACCTGGCCTTGGTGTGGGCTGACAAACCCAAGGAGAAATAAGGAGCCACAGGGTGGCCTGGTCAGCAGGAAGTTCTGTCCTTCAAAGTGGCAGCAGACTCTCCAAGGCAGCTGGGGTGGGGGTGTGGGGCAAAAGGCCAGGTAGGGTGAGATTCCAGCTCCACCTTCCTGCTGACCTGGGGCTTGACCTAGCCCCTAGTCTCTTGACCCAAGCCCTGGCCCTCCCTCCAGTGACTGAGGGTCTTGGCTGGTTGGCCCTCCTCCAGGGCCCTACACCACCCAGGCTGCCCACCTCTGATCCTGAGAAGGAGTGATGGATGGCTGGAGCCAGGCTCAAGCACCTGCCAGTGATGACAGGGTCAATGTACCTACCCCTCCAACTGAGTTTCCAGACAGGGACCTGCCCTTCTAGCCCCAGAGGGAGACTCAAACACACCTCTGAAACATGACTGACATTGCTGCTGAGGCTGGCCTTGGTGCTGAGGGTGTCCTGGACACTCCTGGGCCATGGTAGGGACAGGCTTGGGATGGGGTCCCTGATGGCCCTCAGTAGCTAGTACAAGAAGGCAGGCTGGGGGCCTGCAAAGAGGGGCTGGAGGCCAGGGATGGGCACAAGGATGGTAGATTAACATGCTTCTCTGCAGAGATGGAGTTTCCTCAGCCCTTCAGCCCTGCCTCCTCTTACACATCTGGTCACCTCCACACATGCCTAGGTTCTACCAGGGCAGCCACAGGGGACCATGGTTGTGGGCATGGGCAGGAGGCCCTGGGTGGGTTGCATGTCTGACACACCAGCTGTGATAAAATTGAAGTCATCACAGCAGGAGCCATGCATCACCACCTGGGGGGGTGCTGCGCTCCAATCCTCCCAAATGAAAGACCCTTTGTACCTTAGCCTTCCCATGCCAGGCCTACTTGTGCAACTGTCAGACACACACTGGTGGGCAGACACACAATGATGGCGGCAGTAGGCACAGGCAGGGCGGGGCATGTTCCTGACACCTGTGTGTCCCAACCCACACTCACTCTCTCTAGGGCCAGACTGCAGGGGACCTCAGGCTGTGGAGATCCTAGGGGCAGGACCCTGGGGCCACACAAGAGTTTAGAGTGGCCTGAACTGGGAGTCCTAAGGGCAGACCAGCCAAGCATAGCCAGTGAGCAGCAGCCCCAGGATGTGGGAGTGCGAGCAGCTCCAGCTACAAGGCCCTCTGGCTAATGGGCAGACACTTAAGCCTCCCTGCTGCCACCAGAGCTGCTCTCCAGAGCCCTCTTCCCCGCCCTACACCCAGCTCCTCATCCCAGGGCTGAACCAACTGATAGAACAGTGTGACCAAAGCCATCAGTTCTCTCTGGCAGGATACACCCCAGCTGCAGCCACTCCTGAGTTCATTGACTGGTAGGCTGAGGGCTCTAGCCACTGGACGTAGACACCTGCTCTGCCCTGTGTTTGCTCCCAAGAGGCCTGGTGCTTCTGGCACTGTGAAGAGTCCTGGCCCCAGGGCAGAAGTCTGTGGACACATAGGGACCCACCCCCCACCAGGATGCTGCTCCACTCTGCCTACCCGCCAGGATATATACCTGGAGACAGCAGACCACTCAAGACACACAGCCCCCGGCTCGGCGCCTATAGCTCAACCGGCTAAGGCGCCAGCCACGTACACCTAAGGTGGCGGGTTCGAATCCCCAGCCCGGACCCGCCAAA